AGCTCTTGTAAAGTTTGTGGTGGAACAGGACGACGACGAACAGCTCTTTTAAGTTCATCGTATAAATAAATGTTCGATTGGATTGAGGAGGCAATTCCAATCTTCGTAGTCTAATCTCTTGCAGGTACCCGTTAACTACTCATACTCATAACTCGTTACCCCGCGCAACATGGGGCCTGGTATTATCAAGCACCAGTATAAACTGATTTCCAATGAATGGAACGAGAATTTCTTGGAGGACATCCTCAATATAACGGTGGGCATTGGAAGCTCCATTTTCAACCAATTCAAGATTGTAAAAATAAAGTACAGCTGGTTCCAAAAAAAAAAATGAATACGACTCTTTACACATTCTTTTCGAATATTTGAGCAGTGTATATTTATATGTCAAGTATTTTGACATGTTAAGGTTATTGTGACATTGTATAAAACAACTTTGCTTTTGACAAAGTGGCAAATACATTTTTCAGAACGTCAGCATGACATGAATAAAGAAATGGGGCAGGTATCATAGAATATACTGCCCGATATAATAGAAATATGTTTTAAATCGTAGTCAATTTTATTGGAACCAGCTGTACTTTATTTAAAAATATGTAGCTCATAAAAAAATAGAGGTAAACGGATAATTGAAAAAATTAAATGACAGGAGTACAGTGTGTCCCATTTTGGTTGAAATCTCCGTTATTAGTGAAGATAGAAGGGTGCGGTTTGCACAAACCTGTCCCGCTTTTTCGTCAAACGGAAGATGCTGCAAACAAAATTTTCATAGCCCTCTTCATTTCTGAGCTACAGGGTCTTTTCAAAAATTTTGCAATTTGGGACACCCCCTGTATCTCTGTTATTGTTAAAGGTATCGAGAAGGCGAAAACTGCTTATTGTAGAACTTTTTACGTAGAATAAATACAGTGGCGTAGTCTGTCTACCAAAAAAATATTTTTGAAAATATGAACTAAAGTTATATTTTTTCAAATGGAACACCCTGTATATTTATAAATCATATGATCTGTCTTGCTACGAGCTTCTCAAAAATATATATCACTCTATATTTATTTTCACTATTTACTGCAATATTTAAAATATATCAGTTTCTTATTTGAAGGCCGTGATAAATAACAAAAAATCAAAATGGTATTTACTAAAATAGTCATACACATATTAAAATTTATTTGGGATTGATATATTTTCCTTTTGAAATAACTGTTGCCACTGAAACTGTGAATATATTTTTCTTTTTTTTTATAACGGGATGGGTTTGCAAATATTTAAATCTTGAATTATTAAAGCATTTTTCAGGCGTTCGACATTGTTGTAGTGCCCACGATATATTTCGTATTTCAAAAATCCCCAAAATCAGAAATCGAGAACGGCGAAATCCGGGAATCGAGGAGGCTATCAATATGCGTTCATTGGTTCCAATTCATTGATTTGAAAAATAATAATTTAACAGTATTCTAATATTTCCATAGTTATGAGGGGGAATGTTCACCATCTTGCTGAAAGTATATTTCACGTAAATTAGCTAAAGGAATATCTAAAATTTCCGATACGATAGATTATTCTTACGTATACACGTATTCCAAGATTTACAAATAGCGGTAGAAAGTTAAGTTTCCCTAATATATAAAGAATTTATTAGCGGCTCCCAAAATAAAACAAGAGACAGATAGCAGTATACTTTTAATAATTCTTTAGTTTCTTTTATTATCAATCATGGCCTACTAATAAATATGATCTTTTAATAAAAACTTTTAAATATTGCAGTAAATAGTGAAAATAAATATAGAGTGATATATATTTTTGAGAAGCCTATGGCAAGACAGATCATATGATTTATAAATATACAGGGTGTTCTATTTAAAAAAACATAACTTTAGTTCATATTTTCAAAAATATTTTTTGGAAGAAAACAGACTACGCCACTGTATTCTACGTAAAAAGTTCAACAATAAACAGTTTTCACCTTCTCGATAGCTTTAACAATAACAGAGATACAGGAGGTGTCCCAAATTGCAAAATTTTCAAAAAGACCCTGTAGCTCGGAAACGAAGAGGGCTATGAAAATTTTGTTTACGGCATCTTCCGTTTGACAAAAAAGTGAGACAGGTTTGTGCAATCCGCACCCTTCTATCTTCACTAATAACGGAGATACCGTATGATTTCAACCAAAATGGGACACCCTGTACATCTAAGATTAGAGGAAAGTATTTTTTTATCCAAAATGCCGGTCCCAGTTTTTCCACCGGTTTTGCATTTATTGCAAAAAAGGAAGTTTTGATTTACACCGGTATAAACCCACCTAACAAAAAAATATATTAGTAATTAAAATAATAAAAAGTAATGCCAACAAATTTATACAAACCAATATCATCATAAAAATGGGATTACAAATTAAAAAGTTATGAAACATCAAACTTAGTTAAAATTTTAGTGTGGCTGAATTTTGCGCCGGGGAATTTATATTTTTTTATATTCGGGTGAAAACAGATAACAAGAGCACCAACGCAATCTATCGGAGTTAATAATCAAGCAACCTGGACATTTTATCCGCTTCATCACCTTCAAAATTAAACACAGCCTCTGGATTTAGCAAGAGTGCGAGTGAGTGAGATAGAAATAAATAGCTACCACCGATCGCCGCATATCATTGCATCAGGAATTTGCCAAATTGCGCCTGCGAGCTACACTGCACGCTTCACAACACATGGGACTCAACTAAATACTATCTATTGGTCGGTTAAAAAGAGATGGAGATAGGAGCGCTACTAACGCAAACCTGCTATATATAAAGACATCAACAGTAACTAAACTAATCAACTAGATAGAGACAGGAATGTCGCATAATACAGGCGCTAAAATCGGTATACAGTAGGTGCAAGAAATTGGGAAATATATGGAAAAAATATTTTAAAGTTAAGCAGAAATTTCTATTTTTGGTAAAAGTTCTTTATCTCAAAAACTGCTAAAAATAAACTGGTTTGATTCTGAAATAAAAATCTGAAATTCTCTTAGAGAAATATGGTCTAATCTTTAAAAGAAATACTTATGTTGCTTAGATCTCAAAAGTGGAGAATTTAGGTAACCAAAAAATTGTTTTTGGTTGTTACTTTTTTTCTGGTTTCCTTATCACTTTGACACATATTTCTACAGGGTGTTAAAAAATGCAAAGCCAAATTTCAGGGTATCATTCCTCATCAAAGAATAATATGAAAGATTCCTATAGACGTGGATTCTGAAATCCATAGATTTACTGATACAAGATGTTAAAAGTTTAACTTTAACGATTCTTAGAAATATTTTAATACTTTACTCTAGTGGCAAAATTAAATTGATTTTTCTAATTTGTTTATTTAATGGAGCCCAAAAAACCTGAAATAAATTTTATTTTTTCCCCAATATAACACTAACAAATTTTGAAATAAGTTTGCTATAGAATATTTAAGATAATTACAAAAAAAAATACTTTTTTTAAATGTTTAACATACTGTAAAAAAATATGCAAATGTATTTTTCAAATACCCTGTATAACTGTTACATGTATTTTGAAACACTACTAAAAGAGTTATAATACAACAGTTTATAAAATATAAACTGTTTTGTTCGTGAATATTTTTTTATTTATTTTAGAATATCCTATTTTTAAGCTCCTCTGTATAAAAAATAACATACTAAGTTTTACTAAAAATGAGCTAGCATATAAAAACTTTATACCAGAATAAAAATTTTCTAAAAAAAACTTAAAACACCAGTTCCTATAAATGTCCCAATATTTCACACAAACTGCATAAAATAAAAATTAAAAAATTGATATTTGTTATCATATACACCAAAATTATGAAAAAAGCTTTAAAAACAAAGTTAATATGAATTGGATAACGCAAAATATTATCAGATAAAGAAATATATTTCAAATTTAATATCTTTTCGTGCTAAAAAATCCAATAGATATAAACGATTAAGCAAAATAAATCGAGGTTCGCACCTCCGTGACGATAAACAAATAAAAAAAGTAAACAATGTCAAAAACAAACAAACAAAACGTACTGCTGGTTATTCCAAACTATATTAAAATTAAACTCGAATAAATCGTTTGCAAAAAATCAATTATTGATAGGAATAAATTTCACACTAGATTCAAGTCTATAAAAATTGGTAAAACATATTTTTTATTATTAAGTAGAATTACATGTAGTTGAGAGAGTCATTTTTAAATAGAGTTGTTTTTGTGATTTTAATGGATTTGGAATAATACGCTAGTATAGAGTAATACCGAAAATTAAACCAATGAACGGATCGATAGGTTAGTTTCCAAAATCAAAGACAAACACAAATAATTCTCTATAATTGGCCATTAGCGAGCAAGAGATAAAGTTCATCCGCAATGCCCGGCTTTTTTCAATTCGAATTAAAACTACTAAAAGGATTTAATCAGATCCAAAATAAATTTTGAGAGAACAAAAATAGTATTTCATTGATACTAAAAAATAGCTAAGTTTGGTTTGGGTTGAACACAATACAATGGCTGTTAACAATAAATATTTTCAATGGCATTCTACAATAAAATATTACTATTTTGTTCTTTTATTCAGAGGTGAATTCTAAAAAAAATAAACAGTTATTATTTTTTAATTGTTTGAAAAGTTTTTTGGATTTTTTTTTAATTTTTAGTTAACCCTCAACTGGCATGGTGGATTTTTGTACCGCTTATGGCGTTATATAATATTTGCTCTTATTTAAGGCCCACCCTGTATAAAGTATTCAATTTGAATTTATAATAGAAAAAAAGAGCATTGCGGGTCAACACGGAAGCAAATATTAAAACTAAATTTCCGTCGAGTAAAATAAAAACAACAGAAAAAAAATCACACATCACAGAAAAAAAAACCGAAACAAACAAACTTAAATAAACCAAGACAAAAACAGGCTGCGCGTGCTTGCGCTCTAAAAGAGAGAGAGATAGATGCAGGCAGACAGACGCATAGCATCGTCTCGTAGCATACCGCGCTAGCCCGCGACTGTGCCGCCTTGATTTGGGCTTGGAGGTGCAGAGGGGGATGGAAATAGCGGCAGGGGTCGCGGTTGCAGCGGCCCTTGACTGCGTCCATGCAGACGGTGACCGTGCCGTCCTCGTTGGCGGTCACGGCGTCGGCGGGATGCGCGAAGCGACATTCGGACTCTGCGCGCTTGCACGCCCCGCGCTGGAACTCGCGGCACACCTACAGAAGGCAGAGGATAACCGGAGAGGCTCGAAGATCAGCTAAGCGCCGCTTGCTGCGTGCGTCGCCGTCGCCCGGGGACAGCATGCTGCGCGGACCGGGAGAGGTACGCGCAGCGCGTGATCCCGGTCGACGGCTACGGGTGGTCGAGGCTTGGGCAGTGTGGTTGTTTTCGGTGGCGATACGGGCTGTGTTTTTAGGATGTGCAGGGTGTCCCATTTTGGTTTTGTTTGTGACCTACAGGGCCTTTTTTAAAATTTTTTAATTTGGGACATGCACCATATGAGGTGTCGAGTTCCAAAACCTGTCTTACGTCAAAAACGTTGTTTGGAGATAATATGCAAACATTATTTTAGCATATGTTAAAGCGTTATTTTACAAAAAATCATGTTCATTGAGTAAAATCATTCTTTAAATATTTAATTTATAAAAAGAAAAAAACTTTTTTTTGCTACAGCAAGATATTTGCATCCTAACTTGATGTATTATATATGCAATTTTATTAAAATAAGGTAAGGATTTGAAATGGATAAGACGTCAGTAGTAATATTATACTTGTGTTAAAAACCTAAGAAAAAATGCTGATTTGCAACAATATTGACAATAAATAACAAATATAAGTGGAGAAGATGGATTTTGCTGCGGTAATACAATTTGTAGTAAATTTTATATAGAAATAGGTCAGTTTTGCTAGGACTATGTTTATGTAGATTTGAGGTTCCACTATTATACCGGGGGCGTCTCAAAATTGGCTCACCCCTATAAATTTTCTATTTTTTCAGATAAAAAATCGAGATTGGGCTTGTTAGTATATGAGAAAAATTAGGATTGATTGACGTATTCAATTGTTTTCCGTCACTTCCTCTTTCACCGGAAATGACTACAACTTTTGAATTTTAAATGGCACCCTCGATATTTTGTTATTTTATTCGATAGTAAATGACTCTAAATAGAATGATATATCATATATCAACATTTTTGACATTTTCGAATAAGGTTTATTTGAAATTGCAACATGCGATTCATAACGACAATTTGGCTCGAAATACCAACTGTGTAGTTAAGTGGCTGAAAAGAATTGAATACGTCAGTCAATCCTAATTTATGTCATATACTAACATACCAAATCTCGTTTTTTATCTGAGAAAATAAAAAAGTTATAGGGGTGAGCCACTTTTGGGACGCACCCGTATATCATTAGACCATGTTTTTAAAAATTGATAAAGCGGGTTTTGAAACGTAACGCCTCATATATTAATACTGTCTGGCGTAAATAAAACCTAATAAGTTTTTTTATGAATTTTCATAGAAAAAATGTAATTTTTTTTAATAAACTCTTTAAAAAGAATACTTAATACACGGAATTCATACAGAAACTTCCAAAAAAAGGTTATGAAATTGAAAATTCAGCTTTCTATCGCCACAAAACAACCACGCCTACGCAAATAACTTTCTATCGAAAAAAGCTCAACATTACTGGCTAATCAAATAATAAGTAAAAAACAACAGGGAGCCGAAAACTCTAACTACAGAAAGAACTTGAGCGGGTATCGCACACCGTGCATAGACTCAAAAAATCAACGAAATAATACAAAATCGATAGAAAGTTACAGGTGCTTCTCAAAAAAAGGATTTATAACGATAAAAATGATATCACTAAAAGACTCATATTTACAGCTATAAATAATTACTTATATATAAAGTATGAAATAAATGAGACGACTTTTAAATTATAGTAACCCGAAGAAAAAAATCTGTAAAGTAATAACTCTGTTTTTCAGAGAGCCACTATAATGAAAAAGAACACCTTAACTGGTACATAAAAGTAGTTTGCATCGACATAGAAAATCAAATTAATAGAAACATAAATTAAATATACGTTTAAATTTTACCTTTAAGCTTCATTCAGAACCTCAAAATTACGTAATTTTTTAGAGTTTATGATGACTCATAATGTCTTAAGAAATACAATTTTATTATAATTAATAAAATATCCCAGCAACAGGTTGCGGTAGTCAGTTGTATCCATAGAGAAAACTCTATAAGTAACTTTTAAAATAATAAACATTTGATTTCTAACTACTGATTTCTACATTACTTGCAATTTTTGAAATATAATTAGTCAAGAAAGTTTACAGTTTCTTAACATTTTCTGCTAATTGAAAATTACTGCCACTAATTTTGACGTTCTGAATGCTTACGTTGAAATTAGAGAAACAAACAGCATACTACTTTTATAACCATATATAAAAAAACAAAATAAAATAGAATTATTTTATGTACAAAGGGGAATATACTGAACTACAACTATGTGTGCTAGAGAGGTTAGCAATTTGGTTAGGGTGAATTAGTGTACGGTTAGTGCTTGAGAGTGTGTATTAATTACCTCTAGACATTTATCTGTCTGAAGTTATATATCCAACTAAATATACCTGCGAAAATAAAAAAGAAAGCAAAAGCAACAACTAAAAATAATAATAATATAATTAAAAATAACCAAAATAAATAAAACAACCGATGTACATGCGTAGAATAATATTATTTCGTTGTTAAAGAATGTTTACAATTAGTTATAAACTAAAATATAAAAAAATATAAAAAAATGCGAATCGTAGAATAGTAAATTATGAAAAATTTGCGTACATTTTTCGTTTCTGGACTGTCTCAATCAAACCAAAACTGTTTTAAAGTTAAATAAGCTAAATAAAACAACAAATATTGCTAAAAAATAAATATAACTATAAAAAAAAACATAATAAAGTAGTTATAACGTAGTTTTTTGCAGTAAAGCCGGTTAAACATAGTACAAAATGATGTAAAAATATAGCGATGTAGTCGTATACAGTTTCCCTTATATACAATAATTTCCCAAAAGAAATAAATAACAATAGCACTTGTCTTAAAATATACGAAAAGAATAATATTTATATAAACATAATTAAAAAGAGAAAGAGAAAAAGAATGATTTAAAAAAGACCAAGTGCCAATAAAGTTAAAACAAATCGAGATAAATAAAAGGTAAAAAGAGTAAAGGAGAGCATACCTCTAATCTGTCAGATCGAGGCATTTTCTGTTGGGCTACCACTGTCTGCGGTACGACCCCGAGTGGTGACCCCACTCCTGTGGGGTCGGGGCCCATTATCGTGGGCATGATGGGGCCTGGTGCGAAGTACGGACTGTACGTACTGCCTACTTGTGGCATTCCGGTCAGGTAGGGATTGGCTGCCTAGAAAACAGAATAGAAAAAAATAAGTTTAAGTTTGGGAAGGTTAATTTTTTGGTGGTGTTGTAGGGTTTAGCAGTATTAACATTTTGGGTGATGATCAATAAAGAAAAGGTAATTTTATATGTACCGAGTATACAATTTTTACTAGAGGTAGGAGGGTGCGGTTTGCACGAATCTCTCCCACTTTTTGTCAAACGTAAGATGCTGTAAACAAAATTTTCATAGTCCTCTTCGTTTCTGAGCTACAGGGTCTTTTCGAAAATTTTGCAATTTGGGAATGCCCCTGTACCTCCGTTTTTTTACGTAGAATACAGTGGCGTAGTCTGTTTATCTACGAAAAAAATATTTTCGAAAACATGAACTAAAGTTGTTTTTTTTTTCAAATTGAACACCCTGTATATTTATAAATTAACCCATCTTGCCTGAGAGCTTCTCAAAAATATATATTATTCTATTATATATTTAGTTTCACTATTTACTGCAATATTTAAAAGATAATTTTCTTATTAGTAGGCTGTGATCTCGGCTGTGATAGATAACAAAAAAACCGAAATGGTATTAACTAAAAAAGTACCAAAGAAGAAATCTAGAACGGACAAATCCGAGGACCAGGGAGGCCATCGTATGTGGGTCCATTGGTCCCAATTCATTGATTTGGGGAATGGTTATGTAACAAAATTCTAATATTTTCAAAGTTGTGAGGGGAGACCCCATCTTGCTGCAAGTATATTTCATCATGGTTTCCAAGATTTACAATTAGAAAGTTAAGTTCTCTATATATAAAGAATTTATTAGTAGCTTCCGAAATAAAACAAGAGACAGATAGCAATATACTTTTAATAATTCTTTAGCTTCTTTTATTATCAAAAAACTTTTAAATATTGCAGTAAATAGTAAAAATAAATATAGGGTGATATATATTTTTAAGAAGCTTATGGGGCAAGCTATATCATATGGAAAAATATCACAACTTTCGTTGCACGTCATCAATGACACCATGCGTCGTCTTATAGAGTTTGCTGGTGGTGGTACCAGCAAACCAGTACCAAATTTACTTTTAATTTTTTTTATTAAAATAATCAAAGTTATTTTAATTTCCCCAATAAATATACAGGCTGTTCCATTTAAGAAAACATAACTTTAGTTCATATGATCAAAAATATTCTCTTAGAAAAACTGTATTCTACAATAAACAGTTTTCACCTTCTCGATACCTTTCACAATAACCGAGATACGGGGTGTGTCGCGAATTGCAAAATTTTCAAATAGACCCTGTAGCTCAGAAGCAAAGAGGGCTACGAAAATTTTGTTTACAGCATTTTTCTTTTGACAAGAAAGTCGAACAGGTTTGTGCAAACCGCACCCCTCTCTCTTCACTAATAACGGAGATACCGCATGATTTCAAGCAAAATGGGACACCCTGTACAACATTGTGGGGAATTTAGTCTTTTTATTTTATTGGTATATCCGTTCAAATAGCGTCATAGTCACAAAATTAAACAAATAAGGCATTTATTTTCTATTTTTGGATCCTTATTTCATTCTATCTATCCGAAAAAAATACTATTCCCGATTTTATTCTTTCCTTTTCATAACTTCCAACGAAAACTGGAAATTGTAATTCAATTAACGAAATAAATCTAGCAGAAATAAAGGAATGCGATTTTATATCCAATTAAAATTTAATTGCACCGTCTGAGATAATCCATTAAAAGTCTGCATAAATGAGGCCGGCGCGCATTGTTTAGATTCCGTGTACATTTCCCCTTTTCTATTTTTATCTCCCTGTTTTTTAGCTTTTCTCTTATTTTTTCGCCTGAGTCAGTCCGCCCGTTCTTTTAACGGGCAATCTTTATTTTTTAATTAATTTTTCTTCTTCGGTTCATCCGTAATTTGCTCGGAGTATTCTAAACATCAACTCGCGTAGTAAATTGATACTTGTTTGAGTAAAAAGTAATTGTTACTCGTTTTGATATTAGAGGAATGTTTTTAGTTATACAGGGTGTTTCAAAAAACATGTGCCAACTCTCCTGGGGAGATTCCTCACGTAAAAATAAGATTTATTTTTCATATTAACATAGGCCCGATTCTGCTTTGTTTCGTAGCTAAAAGTGTTAGGGTCTTAATAATTTTTCGATTTATTATAATTTTCTTACAATTACTCTCTTACTTTTAGCGTTTCAAATAAACTTTTGAGAGTAAAAGTTACCATAAAGTGCCTACAAATTTTAATGCTAAAATTGTGTCGATTAATTCTTCAGGGACGTGCATAAGGGTTATCACTGAAATATTTTACAAAAAAAAAACATATGCGCCACTGACTTTGTGTTCTTTTGATATCAAAATTGTGTAGGCCGTTTAATACCAAATAAAAGTTACAGAAGTGCAACTTTATTAATCACAATTAATATAATTAAAATAAAATTAATAAATTATAATATTTTACCTAATTTATTATTAAATATTATTAGCATTAGTTATTATTACTATTAGTCCAACCTAGAGCAATTTCAAATAAAAAAAAATAATGGTATTTAAGATAATTACAAAAAAACTAATTTTGAAAAGTTTTAACATCCTGTAACTCTAAAATTATGCATTTGCATACCCATGTTTATACGAACTTATTTCTCATATTTTTTGATGAGGAATCAATGAGTACTTATTTAAAACTTTCGCAAGTTGATGATATTAACATTTTTTAAAGGTTGCTATTAGACTTGTATCAAAGCAAATTAATAAAATTGCGTTTATCTCATCAAGGAGGCGGAAATCGACAAAATACCAAGAAACAACATTAATCCTAATTTCCCTAATAATAGAAGAAAAAGTCAGTGGCGTACATGCTTTTTTTAAAAAAATATTCCAGTGATAACCCATATGCACGTCCCTGGTAAATATGTCGACACTTTTTAGGGTTCCGTATCCAAAAGGTAAAAACGGGAACCCTATTACTAAGACTTCGCTGTCCGTCAGCCCGTCTGTCCGTCTGTCACAAAGGTCTATCTTATGAACCGTTATAGCTAGACAGTTGAAATTTTTACAGATAATGTATCTATGTTGCCGCTATAAGAACAAATACTAAAAACAGAATTAAATAAATGTTTATAAATAAAAAAAGTACTTTCACTAAACATTATCTTTTAAGTAAGAACGTTAAGAATGGTACGGAACCCTTCGTGCGCGAGTCCGACTTGCACTTGACCAATTTTTTAAAAAGTCTTCTTTAAAATTCAGCCTACCAAGATTTGCAATCTTGTTTGATATATACAGGGCGAAACAAAAATAAATGCTGTATTATTCTCCACTATTTTAAATGGAACACCCCATACTCTCTCTAAAAGTCGAACAAAATTTTATTTAATCTTTTTGTTTTCACTTCTTATACCTAAAATATATATTTAATGAGAAAATCATGTTTTTTGAAAACATAGGATGATTTGACTTCTGTTTTTTCGATAAAAAGCATTAATTATCAAAAGTGTCAATCAAACTGCAGATTTTACTAAAAATAATAACTAAATTTATCATAATTAAACAAAAGCAATGGAAAGACAAATGTAAACTAATGGGCTCTATAAGCAGGCAAATTATTTCTTAGATAGAATATAAATATACAGGGTTATTTCAAAAGATATGTAAATTCTGAAAAAAAAAATTGCGGTAAACAAAACAAAAATTGCGCATATGATATGATCATAATTATCAATTTTTATGTTAAAATCAGATAAAACAAATACCAGGGTGAGCCTTAAATAAACAAATATTTCCAGGGCTGGTAGGTCTCGATAAAAAAATGTATTTTTTCTTTATCGTTTTTTAAATAAGTTCAAAATGACCGACATATTTTACTTTAAAAATTAAAAAAAAATGATTTTTCGCTTAAATTTTTTTTTCTTTCTTGTAAATTTAATCTACTATCTATGTTACCATATTATAAAGATATGTTTTCTTTAATTAAAAATTAAAAAAAAATCCGAATTTTGATTTTTTGCGAAAAAAAAAACAGACGTGTTTTTCGGGTCAAAATATACCACCCCTTAAAATATTTACGACTAACCCTGTATATCTAATTTCTGTAGTGCCTAATATCTTCTGAAACAACACTGTATATGAATTAATCTGTCGAAAAATCAATACAATTGCATATTAGAAAAAAAAACAAAGCGAGAAAATAAACGTGAGCAAGTAAATTATTACCATCAGCGCATACGGCTCATCGAATGGCATGGAGAAATATGGATGGGTCAAAGGAAGGCAATCAATTGACGGGTCCACCTCAAAAACCAATACAAAATTAGTAAAAACTAAAACAAACCAAACCAAAATGCTCGTGACGCATGCCGCGGGTCCCAAAACCTAAGCTTTCAGCAGATTAAATAGTATCTTTGGGCCCATCATATTAGAGGGGTCAGTTGGGAAAAAAGTGTTGAAAAGCTAATTATTGATTTGATTAGTTCATTTGACTGATTTTGAGCAAACTAGAAGACAAATATCAATTAGATTTAAAAAACCTATGGCTCAGAAAAGATATAGTAAACCGGATAAATCTTGCGTTGCTCAACATATTGTTGGCAAAGAACTTTGAATGGATATTAATAATTTTAAATTAAATAAACAAGTCTCAAATTACAGGCAATTAGATGCATGCGTCAAAATTAATAAACGTAAAGATAGTATGAACAGAGACAATTGTCTACTTTCTTCCAGCTTTCTGTTCCTACTACTCTAGTTTCGGTAATTAATTGTTACAATCGCCTAGCTAGTGTTTGCGCAAAAAAGTGGCTCTAAAGTGGCTCACCCCTATAACATTTTTATTTTTTTCAGATAAAAGAACGAAATTTGGTATATTAGTATATGATTGTAATGTTAGAAATTAGGATTGATTGACGGTATTCAATTGTCTTTGGTCATTTCCTATTTCACCGGAAATGACTACAACTTTTGATTTTTAAATGACAACCTCGGTGTTTTTTTACTTTATTGTCGTTTTTAATCACATGTCAACTTTTGACATTTTCGTATATGGTTTATTTGAAATTGTGTCATGCGATTCGTAACGACAATTTGACTCGAAATATTAAGTGTGCAAGTGTGTGGTACCAAATTATTCGTTTGTTTTTTGGAAAAAAAAGTTTTTTTCCAAATATGCTGATGAGTAACCTTCGTTCCATTTGAAAAAATTGAGATATGATTAAAAATACGATTTGGGCATCTTTTAACCGGCTAGGACAAGACACTAAAAACATTAGACGATCAAATCTATATATTTTTCCCAGGCTCCTTGGTTAAAAATTACTGTTTTTAACCCAGCCATAGAAATTTAGAATATGATTTTTTTTAAATAAAAATGTCAAAAGTTGACATATATGATATGTAATTTTATTCAGAGTGTTATTTTCTATGGAATAAAGTAGAAATATATACCAAGGGTGCCATTTAAAAATCAAAAGTTGTAGTCATTTCCGGTGAAACAGGAAGTGACCAATAACAATTGAATACGTCAATCAATCCTAATTTATGTCATATACTAACAAACCAAATCTCGTTTCTTTACTGAAAAATATAAAAAAATTATAGGGGTGAGCCATTTTCGAGACGCACCCAGCATATTAGTTTAGTTTTAATCATCTGCTGATAATGCTAACACGGTTAGCGAAACGCGCGTCCAGTACAAAAATAAAAGTGTTTACGTGTATTGTTGTGAAATAGAGTTTTATTTTGCTGAGTAGTTTGAGTTACATTATTATATCTCGAAAAAAATTATGCGAAAAAAGTAAATACTAGTGCAAAAAGCTTAGTTTAGGACCCTCATTGCAAAAAAGTTAATAACATCAAAAGCAGCAAAGTAGAGACCAGAACAACCAAATGTTAATTTTACCACAACTAGAATTTTCAGAGTTTTCTGATCTCAAACTATAGCAGACGTGGAAAATAGAGATATTGAAGTACTTACCACCGCTTGGACTTGGCCTGGAACCAAGGGTTGTCCTGGTGTAAGTCCCATCTGTTGCATCAGTGCGTTTTTAAGGGCAAGGTGATTCCTTCCGTTGATTAGTAACTGATCTTTGAGATGCTGTGGGGGATGGAAGTATTTGCAGGGTGGTTTTTCTCTATTACATCGGCCCTGAAAAGGAAGGACAAAGTCAGTAATGTTTTTTAAAATATAAGAATAGTCTAGTATAGTAATATTGAAGGAATTTACTTTAAAAAATTCCCGGCATTACAGTTAAACCTTATTTTTCAGACTGTAATGACTCAAGAATGTTGTAGTATAACATACCAAGGTCGTTCAACAAAATTGAAGAGGTAAGATTTTGGCCAACTGCATAACAAACAGTTTAAATAAAATAAAGGAACCTACGTTGTGTTAAAAATATTTTTTATTCTAAACAAATACACGGATTTAAATAGAGAGAGTATACGAAAAAAAGTTTATATAATTATTCTTATTGTTAGGAAGTATAATTTGTGAAAATTCTAAAAAAAAATAAAAAAGTAAATATTTTGATATCTTCAGACCAATCATCTATCTTGTATTATAATTTATTATTGATGCTAATCAAACTAGTGCTGTACGGATCCGAGTTTTTAAACGGATCGGGGATTCTTTAAAAAAATCCGGATCCGGATTTATCCGTATCCGGATTTGAATATGCGATTCGGATCTAGATCCGAGATTCGGATCTGAGATTCGGATCTAAGATTCGGATCTGAGATTCGGATCTTAAAATGCATCTGAAATCCGAATCTCAAATTCGGATCCCATACCCCGGTTATGGTAATTTCGAGGGTAATTTATAAATTATGCACTGAAAAAAAGGATCTCAGTCGAAATGAATATGACTTTGACCCAAAAGATTGGCGTTTTTCAATAGGGCCAAGAACAACGTTTCTTTGCCCAAAAAAAAAGCATTAACTATCTTTCATAAGCTTTAAAAAATTACTTTAGGGAATAGAATAATCTATCTGTCAAAAGCATTTCACTCTTGACCCAAAATGAATATGCAAAGAAGTTCTTGCTACAAGAACAATAGTCTCTTTGATTCATGCAAAAATTCTTGAATGAAAAGGGACATTTCTTGATTAAAGAGACACTTTTCTTAAACCAATAGCGAATAATATTGACTCAATTAAAATTTATTTTGATCTAAGAGAAGTCTATACATCATATACAGGCATATTATGAGGTATATTATTTTCTGATAAATTTAGGTTTTCCTGGTATTTACTTACTACAGAGTAGTAAGTAAAGTGATATTATTATTATGTTATATTATTTATTCTTGCAGTGCAGTGGCGAAAAACCCATAAGGATTTTTTTTTGGATAAAGTGATAATATTTTTCTCGATAGTAGCAATTTTCGAATTTTTCAAGAGAACCAGTTTTCTTGAGTTAAGAGAGTTTTTCTTCAAGCAAAATATTTTCTTTTACGCTAAAATAAATTTTCTTGCCACTATTTTTTTTTCAAGAACAATGACGACTTTAGTTCAAGTCTATCTTTTTTATCAGTGTGGGCATAAAAAAGTAGTTTAATTTGCAGCACAAGATATTTAATTTTCAAACAAAAAAAATACAACCAAGTATGCGGATGCGGCATGCGCATGTTATGCATGGAACGACGACTGGCAACAGTGAATACGAATACGACGATCTTGATTCAGATCCTAAATCCGGACTTAAACCCGGATCTTAAATCGGGGTCTTAAATCCGGATCTTAAATCCGAATATTTATACCCGGATCGATCCGGTTCCGGATTGTACACTTTAAAAAATCCGGATCAGATCCGGATCTGATCCGGATTGAAAAAGGATCCGGATCTGATGTACAGCACTAAATCAAACTTTTTAGATGAATTAAACTACGGTAGCGAGCATAAGATTACACACCGGTTTTGCTAATGGGCACATAACTTGGGCTATTTCGGCTATAACGAAATTTTTTGAAGGTACAGAATTATAATTTTAGACATATTCGGCGCCGTGCTGACTAACAGGAATTGAAATTTCGCGATGGGGATTTAGGTGGTAACTCTGCTCTAAAAAATGTTATGTTGCCCCATTTATTCATTTATTTCCTGATATTGAAATTTGTTTTGACACTATAGTTTTGTATTACGAGTTTTTGGTTTAAATAAATAGTGTTGTGATACTTTAAGCTAAAAAATGTTTACTAGCAGACCTTGCAGTCAAACATTGATCATTTTAGAACCTCTTTTAGAGCCAAATGTACAAGATATATCCATATACAGAGAAGACCAGGCTACTAGTAACATAGCAAGTTGCCGGACGAATTCACGTTTACCCGTTTTGCGTTCGTACTCGAGACTGCCGGCTAGTCGGCGGGTCAGGCAGTACTGTTTGACCAGCGGATCTGTAGCTACGGAAGGAATGCGAGAAAAAAAATCGATATTGCCACGTTTATCTATAAAATTGCAAAATTGCCAGACATGAACTATAAATTTAATATATTTTTATTATATATAATGTGTTTAGCATATATTCTGACGTATATTACTAAGGAATTTTAACGTAGTTCATATTGTTCGATATGTTTTATTTAATAACTTATTTCTTTCATTCTGTATAATCTGCTTATTATGAAAGTTGAAGATTTTTCAACGATATCATTGGCAAACCGGCATCGCCGCGCATGGTCGCCTATTCATCGAACATGATTGGCGAGAGTACGTCACAGGATTTGTTACCACGCGGTTGCCATGTCTTTTACGCCTTTCCTATTCGCTTGCTTTATGCCCAACTTCACGATCTCTTCTGAAAAGAGTAGGAATATTGAATACTATTGAAATATCCAGTGGCGGTGTCATTTTTTTGATCATTATTACTTTATTTCATTATTTTATACCGGTTATCCTAAACTTTATTCCTATATTTTTTGTATATTTGATAGTTCAGTTGTGTTTTATTGTTTTGTTATCTTGTTATAATGTTTTTCGTTCGTAGTTTTTAATTATTAATATCAAGTTTGATCGTATATTTGTGTTTTAAAATGAATAAATTTGTTAAGGGTAAGACACTACATAGTCAGACAAGAGAAATAATAGCTAATTTATATAAGTAAGTTAATAATAACGTGGAAGAAATATCATTTGGTTTATTTCCTTGTGTTCATAATAGGGTTTGCGATGAAGAAGCTACAGAGAGTTCGCTTAAGTTGCTGCTTAAACGTAAACTTGTTAAAAACACAGAAGTTAAAAAAAGGCTTAAAACTAACCCCGATAAAATGATATCCAGCTCTGGAAAGAAACGACCACGTGAGACTGCTGTCGAAAAGCTCGACGACTTTTTCGAAGTGGTCAGGAATTTGATAAATAGATTTTATCTCGAATTCAAACTCGTCCTCACAATTAGAAAGCTTTTGCAAAAATTGCAGGAAGAATCGAATTTTCCTTTTGCAGGGAAACGCTTAGGGAGTTATTAAAATCAAATGATTTTTTTTGGCGTAAATGTCAAAATAACAGATAAATATTAATGGAGCGGCCCATTATATTACAGAGAGGGATATAAATATATACGCGAAATTCGAAAATATAGCCAAGTATTATCTATTTGGATGAAACATATGGGTATACAATGACCTAACCTTTAAAAACTGCTGCGGAGCGATACCATATCTGGTGTAATAGGCAATATTGGATCTACTGGTGAGTAAAATTATGTTTTGTTTGCGCTTCCAAAGTTAACTATTTTCAAGATTTTTTTTTTGCTGGAAATAGTTATATCTAAAATTATGTATTATAGAAAAAAATATAGTTAGTACCGATATAAATAAATATACCTCAAGACTCAGTCTTGATCATCTGGTGATGGCAGACATGGTTAGCGAAACGTGCGTCCAGTGTAAAATTAAAAGTGTTTTGGTGTATTGTACTGATTTAGTGTTTTATTTTGCTGTGTAACACAAAAGGTTCCAACCCCCAGCTGTAATTATTTCTTCTATTATATTAACAACACAATAATAAAATGATTCAAAATATTTAAGGGAGCTTTAATAAAAGCTTTTAGTGTTTATCTGCTAACTCAACAGTAACGATTCAAACAGCATAAAGTAGAGTATTATATTTATGATACACATTATTTTCATATAACACCGTACGCCCATGCCTATTTTATGAATGAAATTGGGCGTGTTTTGTTTACAACTGCGTTCCCCTGCCGATACCCCGTAGCTACAGATCCGTTGGTCACACTATACGCAGTTGCAGTTGTGCTTGGACAGACTAGGAATACGACGCGAAGCGAGGAGTGCCGAGTATTTATTGCTTTCATTTTAAGTGTTTACCTTCACTTAAGGTAACATTTAAAATGAAAATACTTAAATATTTATTATTTGAGTGTGTTTAAAAGCCTAAACTAAAAATAAATAAATTTTCTAAACCCAAAACTCATTTCCAAAATTAAAAAATACCTCAATAAAATAAAAAAAATAAAATATTACTCTAAATAAAAAAAAGTTATAACAAGTGTTCAAAAAGACCACCTTCTTGTGCTAGACCGAAGCCTAGGCGGTCGTAAAATCCCCGTATGACATTGGCTAACATATTAGGGCTAATAGTTTGGAAAGCTTCTCGTATTTTTACTTGAAGCTCATCCAGATTATTAGCCCTATTATGACCATACACTTTGGATTTTACATAACCCCACAAAAATAAGTCATTGGGAGAAAGATCTGGTGATCCAGCGGGCCACAAAATAGTTCCATATCCACTAATTAAACGGTTGGGAAAAGTATTGTTCAAATATTCTTGAACAATACGGGCATTGTGGGTAGGACACCTCAGCAATTTGATTACTTGAAAACGTGGGATTTTGATCCGCGATAGCACAAATTAACACTTGCTTTAACTCCTGTTCTTCATTAATCAACACATCAGGCTTTTTGTGTTTTTGTGGGAACACGCACTCATGTGTTTCAAAATTATTAATAATTCTTGATACAGTAGGTAAAGATGGAATTGGTCTGTTTACGAAAGTTTGTGGAAAAATTGTTTGTATATTCCGAAAAGACCTATTTTGGAAATACCATTTTATAATTTGAATTTTCTCACGAACTTCGTAAACATCCATTATTTTACTTAAAAAATAAATTTTACAAGAGATCTG